CACCCCACCAACCCCGGAGCCACCAAGTTTACAGAGACCACGATCCTACTACGCCAGATAGCACAGACACGTGAGAAGCAAACAAAGACAATGATCACCCCCGTGAAGCCTCAACAGACAAGGGCCATGAGTAGCGAGGAGCAGCACCTTTGAAGGCCGCCACGGCACACGAGGGGGGTGGGTGGCCAGCATCAAGCCCGGCCGCCTTTGTCTCCCCAGTGGCGATGTTTTTACTACACACCACCGCTACACCAGGTACTCATTTTAGGCTGAGCCCACCTAGGGTGAGGAGGCTCGGGACCGATTGTTACAGATGACCGCGATCACCGGCGTTGGTGGCAGTGAGTGCAGCGTGCTACCACCCCACTGCCCCCCCCATATGATACAAAGATCCCTCCTCTATAGCCCTTAACAGACTGTTGGGGGCAAATACCGTTATCGAGCAGCACCTACAAGATAATTAATTCTCACAAGCCTCGCAATGCCTTTGCTACGCACTAAAACAAGAGTCTACAATCAGCGCGATGCAGAGGCTCACGGTTCAGAATCCAGCGGCCGCCCTGGACAATCCTTCGGTGTGGGTGTTTGACCTTGAGATTACTACAACTACTAATACTTCTGCTGCTGCAGCAGCAGTACTGCTACCGTGCGCGAGATAGCATGCGTTGTCAGGGTCGGGGTCAAACCCACGACCTCCTGCATACCAGGCAAGGCAGTCAATATCTAGCCACCATGGTGCCCCTAACCGAGGGGAAAGCGGTGCTCTGCGGATGGAATTGAATGTTAATTGAGAGCAGTGTAAATATCGGCTAAAGTGACCCAAAGTGTCTTGCCCAGAGAAGCCGAGGATTTAACGAAGACGGTAAAAGGAATTACCCTTGTCGGCCAAGGCTGTGATTTCATTGCATCGCGTTCTATATGTATGTTGAATTTCTTTCACACCGCACGTAGCTAACCGTTGCTGTGAGATGCCGGATGATGATGTATGTACATTAAACGTCTTTCACACCGCACGTAGCCAACCGTTGTTGTGAGATGACGGATGATGTATGTACATTAAACTTCTTTCACACTGCACGTAGCCAACCGTTGCTGTGAGATGCCGGATGATGATGTATGTACATTAAGCTTCTTTCACACCGCACGTAGCTAACCATTGCTGTGAGATCCCGGATGATGATGTATGCACATTAAGCTTCTTTCACACCACACGTAGCTAAACCTTGCTGTGAGATGCCGGATGATGATGTATGTACATTAAACGTCTTTCACACCGCACGTAGCTAACCATTGCTGTGAGATCCCGGATGATGATGTATGCATATTAAGCTTCTTTCACACCACACGTAGCTAACCCTTGCTGTGAGATGCCGGATGATGATGTATGTACATTAAACTTCTTTCACACCGCACGTAGCTAACCGTTGCTGTGAGATGCCGGATGATGATGTATGTACATTAAACTTCTTTCACATTGCACGTAGCCAACCATTGCCAATGGGAGGTGTGGGATGTTTGTACGTTTAATTTTTTTTGCACCGAAAATAGGCAACCGTTGCTAATGGGAGGTGCCTTCTTGAGCATTGATGCACGCTCCACGCGTTGTGCAGGATTTCTTTAACTTGGTTTTGTGCTTTCTTTGTGTGCATGCTGGGTGAACTCCACACAGATGGATAGAGTCCTGACCGTCTTGGTGTTGTGTGGCGCCGATTGTGAATCGTGTTTGCCGGCATCTCGGGCAAAATGTGAAAAGTTACACCGCAAAAATAGCGATGCTCAAATGCGCTCCCCCTATAACTACTAACAACCTTGCAGGACCCTCATGAAAACAGTCTTGAGACTCATCTACGCTTGCCTGGGTTAACAAGCAGAGTAATAATCATAATGCTTAAACAAATATTCACTGCTTTATTGGTCTTAGCGTCACACTCCACAGGAGGTGAATTACTCTGCTAGCTGGTAAAGTTCTCGTACAGGGCATGTCGCGCATTGCCAACGCTTGTACCTCAGCAATAAATGCTTGGGTCTGATTCCTGACTCGGGCATATTTCTGTAAGTTCTCCCCCTGTTCTGCAGTGAGAGTGAGTGGAGTTTGTCTGATCTCTCCCTGTTCTACAGAGTGAGTGGAGTTTGTATGATCTCCTTCTGTTATACAGTGAGTGTGAGTGGAGTTTGTATGATCTCCTGGACCAGCAGGAGTCTCCTGTCGTAGCCATAGCAGGCAGGGCTATGGCCTCTGAGTGAAAGCAGACAACCTCCGCTACCGTACGGTTGGGTCCCAAATTCTGGAATGTTCCTTTTCAGATCGTCCTGGTCACAAGCAACAACAAAAAAAGACTTGGCTATAGGCGTACAGAATGTCAGCTCTTCAGCCCCCTTCTAATACGTGAGAATGTTAGATCGCTCACTCAGCTGGTCATATACATGTGGTATAAAAGACAAAGACTCCCCCCCCCCCATGTACCCTCAATGGACTGTTGGGGCAAGCGACGTTCGCGAGTAGCACCTATGAAGACCCGACCATCAGGCGTCAACGTACCAGGGAACCGTGTATCTCCTGTAGTACCCTCGCAGACCACCAGGGGGCGCCTCTCTCATATAGTATCCTCAAGGACTCCCCTGGAGTATCCTGGCAGAGGTCCGCGGATCCCTGGTCTCTCGGAACGCAAGCGTGGCGACGGATTGTACCTGGTGAATCGAGGTGTCCGTACTCGTCTAGCAGAAGTTCTCTACTTGATATAGACCCCTACAACTAAAAATTTTTTTATCAGTTCAGGGCCACTGAGCTGCTCTGTTGCTCTTTTTCAAAAGCGACCTATCACAGATGAAAGCTCAACGAAGCAGCTCATCGCGTGGAAAAATACAGCAGCCAAATACTCTAAAACGATGGATTGTTGATTCTAAATGTCGTCAGACTGAACCCACGACCTCCTGTATACCAGACATGGTAGTGAACATCTAGCCACCGTGGCACCCCTATCCTAACTTCCCCGTGTCTCAACTCGAGTATCGGAGTTTCGGCAAAGGCTTACATTCAACTGAACTGACGCTACTTTTTAGGAAGTCGTAAAGTCGTTTGGTACTCTGGTCCCTGTTTTTTGTATTTTTACAGTTTTTGAAAGCTATAGCCAAAGGACTTAACCAGCTCTCCCCTCATTCTAAGACATCATTAGAATTCGCACTGCTCGCTCACGATTGTCTTACAGTAATGGGCGGAAAAACCAAAGTAACGAGACAGCCATGTGGTTCGAATTCAGTAGGAAACAAAAAAAAAACCTCAATATCGCGAGAGCCGCGACGCAAAGCAGCGAGTACGAGATGGCGGTCCTCGATAAACGACGTCACAAAGCGGTCTCTTAAACGACCACACGGCACCTCCTGAGCACGCAGGTTGCTGGATCCCCCTGGTCTATGGCACCTAAGGTAACACTCCACAAATATGGGTGTACGTTTGTACGTTAGAGTTCTTTCGCACCGCCAGTACGTAGCCAACCGTGCTAATCGGAGGTGCGGGGAAACGACAGCAAACTAAACACAACAAGCAGTTCTAAAGAAATAAGTTTGTCAACCTAGGTGATATAAAAGTGTATAGCTCCAGTGGTTTCCTAATATCGGAAGGAAGAGACCCAAAGAGATCCCGAGACTTGTATAGGATCATAGAAACCCATCCTCATACGGATATTTGCTGAACTTCTTTCGCACCGCCATACGTAGCCAACCCTGCTAATCGGAGGTGCGGGGGGAAGGACAACAAACTAAACAATACATCACAGTGTCAGGCAGTATAGGCAGGTAGCTCAACATCATCATCAGCCATGTTCAAGCCACTGCTGGATGACAGCCTCCCCAAGCTGCACACTATTTTTTGTTCTGCCCAAATCATACAATCGCACAGCGAGGGTGATTTTAAAGTCTGTTATAAAACAAACTAAGCTAAAATATGCCTAAGGGTACTGCCACTGGGATTTTATCATAAAAAACACACACGGGAGAGCAACGCGGGAGAGGGGGGTGGTGGAGTGATTGGATTTCCTTTGAAGGAATCAGCGTTCATGTGCGTGTGTTGAACTTCTTTCGCACCACCGTACGCTTGCCAACCGTACGAATCGAAGGTGGCAGGGGGACAACAAAACAAACACGGAGCGAGACGCACAAACTCCAAACATACAGCAACAGGTATCAAGAGTCGGGATGGAACCCAAGACCTCCTGCATACCAGGCGAGGTAGTTAACATCATCTACCTAACCACCGCGGGGCCCAAAGCCAACACGGAAATGGCGCCGATGGAGGAGACGCCCGAGACCCCCACGCCACGTCGGAGCTCGCGACATCGCCGTGCGTGTGCTGGACCCGCTGCCCGGGTGTGCAATGTCATTGCGTGCCCAACGCGCGCGGGGAGATTCAAACTCGCGATGGCAGTTGCCGACGAGAGCTCCGCGCGGCCGTTCCACCGCCACGTGTGAACGACTTCGCTCCGCCGATGAGCCCACGGTTTTTCTACAGAGTGCTGCGATAGGAGCCAGCGCCAGACGGCAGCCCTGGCCTGTTGGTCACTCGAGCGATTCGATCAAAATAAACCAAACAGCTCAGCAGATGATTTCCCATCCTTCGCCTTGGGCAAGGGCCCTTCCCCTCTTGTTAAGACATGGGGCTCCTACGACTATATTCTACACGTCCCGTCCGCCCCACAGCCTTCTGGGGAGTGCGTCATTTCAGCAGCACTGGTTCGTCATGAAACGAAACTTCGCACCGATTTTGAGACCAAATGTCTCAACAGCAGTCAGCCTCACTAGAAACCAATGCTGGCAAACTGCCCAGATGTTTATAGGCTAGGACCATCTTCTGAGCTCTTTCGGTGAAGTCACGTAGAATGGAGATAAAATAGTAAAAAAGAATAATAATAATAACAGAATAAAATTCTCACGACGTTTCGGCCACAACACAAGTAGCCTTCCTCAGGTGAAGAAACAGGACTGTCCGGCACGGCCCGTTGCCGCGATCACGGCGGCGACTCCACCGTCGTTGCCGGCGTTACCACGGCGGCGGGCTCTGTGCCGGCCGTGCCGTCACCGGCGGGCACGGCGGGCACGGCGTCATCGTCGGCACGGGCGGCGTGCGTGAGCCGGTGCCTGTCCAGCGTGGCGGCCTGCGCGAAGGAGCGGCCGCACTCCCCGCACTCGTGCCGGCGCTCGTGGACGGCCGTGGCCCCGCCGGCGGCGGCGGCGGCGGCGGCGGCGGCGGCGGCGGCGGCGGCGGCGGCGTGCCGGCGCTCGTGGGCGCGCAGGTTGGAGAGCTGGGCGAAGGCGCGGCCGCAGTCGGCGCAGGCGTGCGGCCGCTCCCCTGTGTGCGTGCGCTCGTGCTTGCGCAGCGTGGACATGAGGGTGAACGCGCGGCCGCAGCGCTCGCACACGTGCGGGCGCTCGTGCGTGTGCGTGCGCAGGTGGACCTGTCCGTGGGTGGGGGGCAGGAGGAGGAGGGGGGGGGGCGGAGGGGAAGGCAGAGGGGGCGGCGGGGGGGGCAGGGGGGGGCGCTGTTGAACTTTCCCTTCTCTGCCCCCCCCTCCCTCCGCCCCTCACGAACTCACACGAACTCCGGTCATCCTCGCAGCAGCAGCAGCAGCGGCTTTTGGCGAACCATTGAACAAACACGGTCACCGCATCATCGCACGCTTTCAGATGCTATATACACTACACTATACACTACACTATACACTACACTATACACTACACTATACACTACACTATACACTACACTACTATACACTACACTATACACTACACTACTATACACTACCCTATACACTACACTATACACTACTATACACTACACTATACACTACACTATACACTACACTATACACGACACTTTACACTACTATACACTACACTATACACTACACTATACACTACACTATACACGACACTTTACACGACTGTACACTACATTATACACTATATTATACGCTACACAATACTATATACTACATTATACACTACACTATACACTACTATACGCATTATACACGACACTATACACTGCTATATACTACACTATACACGACTATACACTACACTATACAAAACACTACACTATACACTACACTAGACTATACACATAAAACACTAGATTATACTCTACACTGTACACTACAATCCTATACACTACATTACACACTTCACTAAGCACTACAATCCTATACACTACACTACTATACTATAAACTATGCTAGACACAACTATACACTACACTACTATATACTGCACTATACACTACACTCCTATATACTACTCTAATGTACACTACATTATACACTACACTATAATATATACTGCTATACACCACTATACATTACACTTTTGGCTTACCGTCGAACGAAGACGGTCACCGCATTGCGCAATTTAGTTGCGCTTATACGGCCGTCTGGAACGCTCTTCCGAAGCCACCAGGAGCTATGCACTTTTAAATCATCATCTAGATTGACAACCTAATTTCTTCTTAACTTCAGAACTGCTTCTTGTTGTTTTTGTGTTTAGTTTGTTGTCCTTTCCCCACACCTTTGATTAGCATGGTTGACTACCATGCTAATCAACACACATACACAGAAACTCACAGAGACACAACACACACAACAACCGTCATTCTCCACTAAGTGATAGTGACGTCACCATGGCGCTTGTGCCAGGCTATGTGCACATTAAGGCCACGTGAAGTGTCGAACACCTGCTTGCAGGAGGTCACAGGATAGATCAAGGTGCCATGTGTTGACTGAGATGACTGGCCGATGCACCACCTGTGCCCCCTACTGTGGCAACTTATTGTATTTTAGCCACCTCCCACTCTGCTCATTGCTGTGAGCGTTGCTCCTTTGTCTCTGTTGTTGCTGGAGGGCGACTGCCTGCAACTGCCCAGTAGAATCGTCCTTCACGAGCCTCCTCCACAGAGGCCGATCTTGACACTGCTGATACCAGTCATTGGTAAGTCCACTCAGCTCCATATCATCTCATGCCACATCACTCCATCTCTTCTCTAGCCCGTGCCGTGGCCATTTAGCCCCCTCTATCTGGCCAAACAAAAGCTGTTTGGGCATGCGGTGGCTGGGCATGCGGGCTACATGACCCAGCCAACGCAGCCTTGCCTGCCGGACGAGCTCACTGATGGGACTGTGTTAAGATCTTTCAAGGATTTGTGAGCTCCTCACACAATCCAGTCTGGTTAAACCCAGGATGGATCGTAGGCAGGCCAGCCTGAATGTTCATAGCCAGCGAAGATGTTCCATTAGGGGGGTCCATATTTCACAAACATAGAGAAGGGAGGGAATGACCGTGGCCGAGAAGACCTGAAGCTTTGTATGGAGCGAAATACCAAGTAGCTTCCACACAGCATTATGCAGCCGATGAAAATATAATGCTGCTCGACTGATTCAGAGTGAGACCTCTGCTGTCAAACCGGAACTGGTCATAAGCACACTGCCCAGGTACGGGAACTTCTCCATTCTCTCCACAACTGCCCCGCCAATAGAGTTGTGGGGGTGAAGTGTCTGATGGTACTAAATAGCCAGGCAGATGCTTAGTTTCAGTGGGGCTGATGGTAAGGCCCCACCTCTTAGTGACACACTCCAGGTTAAGCAGCAGTGCCTCCAACTTCTCCTCTGAGTGAGCAGCTTTTACCAGATCATCGGCATCCATTACATAATTGACCAATAGGGAGCCATCCCTTGACCCCACCCAGGTATCAATAAACCTCCCATTGTATCAGTACCAGATGGAAATTCCACCGATACAGCCATCGAAGGCTTCACGAACTACATGGTCAAAATAGATGTTAAATAATGTGGGTGCCAGAAGACATACCTGTCGCACCGCAAGGTGAACAGGAATTAGCTCCAATTCCCAGCCATGTAGTTTTACCCGGGCCTGCTCACCATCGTGAAGGTCCTTAATGATTGTAAGCAGTCAGGGACTCCGAAAGCACGAAGAACAATCTAGAGTCCAGGCCTACCAATGGAATCATAGCCCTTGACCAGAAAATATGGCATCTGTGCAGGAATGCCCTATCCTGAATCCACATTGGGGCTCCGCAAGCCTCTTTTCAGCATGCCTGGCAAGGCAATGTTGAATGATCCTTGCCAGGACCTTTCCCAGCACACTGAGGAGGGAGATGCCCCTGTAGTTGTTAAAGTCGGTGCAGTCCCCCTTCTTAAAGAGGAGGACCACCAGGGCATCCTGCAAATCCTGCGGAACCCGTCCAGTGGTCCAGACTGTTATTATGTCATGTAGGGCAGTCTGCGCACAAGCGCCACGCTCCATCAGCATTTTGCTTGGGAAATCATCTCTGCCAGGTGCTTTTCCTGGTCTAAGACTCTGTATTGCCTTTTGCACTTCTTCAAAAGATGGCACCTCAGCCAGCCACTCACAGGGGGTGAATAGTTATTCAAATATTTGAGGCACCGCAGCCTCAGCAGGGTCATCCCCACTTTACTCCATGATGTTTTCCAGGCTGAGGGATGTCCCCTGCCCCAAGATCTCACAGAAATTATAATCAATTCTGCAAACCTGTTCCTGGGGGCCGGAGATCGGTTCACCTTTCTTTCCCCTAATGATGATGATAGGTGTGGCGCTGAAAGTAACTTTTTTTTTATGGAGTTAGAGTTATTTGTGATCACAAGCTACTGAGGCAGACTCAATCTCCTCAGCAACCCATGACCACCACCCATCCTTACAGTGCCTCACTGCTCTCCGAACCTCCGAGCGGTCAGCCTCCTCATCCTCTGACGTGGGATGCTGTAGATGGTGAGAGTAGGCCTGTTGCTTTTTCTCAGCCAGCCTGAACACCTCCTACGTCAGCCTGGGTCTCTGGGGAGGTCTGGACCGTGTACTCAAAGCAGCCATTGCAGCTGCATGAGTCACAGTCCTAAACCTCGTCCATTTACCCTCGGCATCAGGCGGAGTGGGGGACGATGCAACTTGGGTGTACACCCACCACCAGAGTGGAAGAATGGCAGGCGCATGACAAGCCAATGGTCAGTGGGCATATCAGCTCCACGGGAGATAATGGTGTCAAGGACATGGGCCCGCATCCGCTATTCCATCACTATATAATCCAGCAGATTTTATTGCTTGGACCCAATATGCATCCATGATGTTGTGTGGATGCACCGATGCCGGAACAGCGTGTTGGTAATTACAAGCCCATGGGCTGCACACAAGTCGAGCAGCCACCTACCATTGTTATTGAGTTAATCTGGCCCATGCCCTCCAATCACTCCAGACCAGGTGTCAGCATCATGACCGACTCGGGCATTGAAGTCATCCAACATGATGACTCTATCCCGAGGGGCCACTTTAGCGAGCATCTGTGACAGGAGGTCATAGAAGGTATCCGATTCATCGGTATTGCCTGCATCCCTCCACTGATGTTCATCTTTGGTGGGGGCATAAATAACCACGACCACCATTCCTCACCTCCCATTGGGGCTTACAGCTTCCCACACCTGACCACCATGCTCCCACACCCCCTTCATTCTTTCATTTCGGCCCCAAGTAGAGGACTGTCCACCCCTCATGGTGGCAGGAGCCAGAGCCGGTCCACCGGACCTTCTGAGTACAACAGAGATCCAGGCCGTACCGGTCCAGCTCCAAAAATAGGAGTGGCAGCCTCTCCTCCGCAGTGAGCGTTCGGACATCCCACGTGGCCACCCGCAGTGGCTTTTTGTTGTTTCGGGAGGAACCCCGAGGGTAGAGATTCAGTCTCCTGGCTCTGCCAAATGGGGTTTGGCCAGGAGACGTCATAGACGCCTGACCCCTCGGGGCCTCCGACACTCCACAAATACAAAGATCCCCCGTACAGCCTTAAAAGACTGTAGGGGAAAGTGCTGTTAGCGAGCACCTATGAAGGCCGGAGCGGTACACGAGGGGGTGGGTGGCCAGCACCACGCCCGCCGACACTCCACACACGCATGCACACACACACCACCATACACGCATGCGCACTACCACACACGTACTCACACACACCACCACACATGCATACGCACCACACATGCACACCACCACACACCACATACGCACATCACACATGCACACCACCACACAAGCCCGCACACACCACACACGCATGCACACCACCACACAAGCCCGCACACACCACACACGTACACCACCACACACGCACACAAACAAAACATGCACACCACTACACATGCACGCACACCACCACACACGCCCGCACACACCACACACGCCCGCACACACCACACACCACGCACGCACACCACACCACCACACACGCACACCACCACTCACGCCCGCACACACACACCACGCACGCACACCACCACACCACGCACGCACACACACCGCACAAGCACCCCACAGCGGGCCCCGCTACCTCACCTTGAGGTTGGAGAGCTTGGAGAAGCCCTTGCCGCACTCGGGGCAGGCGTGCGGCCGCTCGCCCGTGTGCGTGCGCCAGTGCTCGCGCAGGTTGCACAGCTGCGAGAAGGAGCGGCCGCACTGCTCGCAGGCGTGCGGCCGCTCGCCGGTGTGCGTGCGCCGGTGCTTGTCGAGCGTGGCCAGGCGCATGAACCCGTCGCCGCAGCGCTCGCACACGAAGGGCCGCTGGGCCGCGTGGGCCGCCCCTCGGTGGGCCCGCAGCGCCTCCGCCCGCGAGAACTCCTCGCCGCACTCGGCGCAGGCGTGGGGCCTCCCGCCGGGCGGGTGGGCGCTGCGCTCGTGCCGCTCCAGCGCGGGCACCTGCGCGAAGGTGCGGTCGCACGCCCGGCAGGCGTGCGGCCGTCGGCGGCGGCCGTCGGCGTCGGCGGCGACGGCGGCGTGCCGGCGCTGGTGCTTGCGCAGGGCGGCGAGCTCGGCGAAGGCGCGGCCGCACTCGGCGCACGGGTGCGGCAGGGCGCCCGCGTGCGACAGGCGGTGCAGCTTGAGGCCGTAGCCGCGGGAGAAGGCGCGGCCGCAGTCGGCGCAGGCGAAGGGCCGCTCGCCGGTGTGCGCGCTGCGGTGCTTGAGCAGCGTGGACGGGTGGGAGAAGGAGCGCCCGCAGTCGGCGCACGTGTGGGGGTGGTCGCTCAGGTGCGTGCGCAGGTGCACCTGGCGCACGCGCCCACCGGGTTTAGCCATCGCGGCACGCCCCATCGCGGCACCGTCGCTCCACGTGGAGCTTTTGCTTTGCTTTTACATGAAACAACAACAACCGCCATTCGCCACTAAGTGGCGGTGACGTCACCACGACGCTTGTGCCAGGCCATGTGCACGTTGAGGCCACGTGAAGTGTCGAACGCCCGCTGGCACGAGGTCACGGGGCAGACCCAGGTGCCACGGGTCGACTGACTGAGATGACTGGCTGATGCACCACCTGTGCCCCCTACTGTGACAACCTGCTGTGCTTTAGCCACCCGCCGCTCCGCTCGTTGTTGTGAGCGTCGCTCCTCCGCCCTCCGTTGTTGTTGGAGGGCGACTGCCTCCAACTGCCCAGTAGCGTCCTTCAAGAGCCTCCTCCACAGAGGCCGATCTTGACACCGCTGGTACCGGTCATCGGCAAGTCCACTCAGCTCAACATCCTCCTGTACCACATCACTCCATCTCTTCTCTAGCCCATGCCGCGCCCGTTTAGCAGAGCGACAGACCAAGTAGCTTCCACACAGCGTTACACAACCGATTAAAAGATAATGCCATTAGACTGATTCAGAGTGAGACCTCTGCTGTCAAACCGGAGCTGGTCATGAGCACACTGCCCAGATATGGGAAACTCTCCACTCTCTTTAAAACTGGTACAAAATACCCAGGCAGGTGCTTACTTTTGGTGGGGCTGATGGCAAGGCCCCACCTCTTAGTGGCAAGCTCCAGGTTCAGCAGCAGCAGCGCCTCCAACTGCTCCTCTGAGTGAGCCGCAATTACCAGGTCGTCGGCATACATAACGTTGTTGACCAATAGGGAGCCATCCCTTGACCGGACCCGGGCATCGATCAGCCTCCCATTGTATCTGTACCAGATGGAAATTCCTCCGGTACAGCTACTGAAGGCTTCACGAACTACGTGGTCGAAATAGATGTTAAATAATGTGGGAGCCAGAGGACATCCCTGTCGCACCCCAAGGGAAACAGGGAATATCTCCGACTCCCGGTCATGTAGTTTTACCCAACCCCACTCACCATCATGAAGGTCCTTAATGATCGTGAGCAGAGGGTCAGGGACTCTGAAAGCACGAAGAACAACCCAGAGCCCAGGACTACTAATGGTATCATAGACCTTAACCTTGTTGGTCCTGCATCTGTGCAGGACCGCGGAACCTCTCCTCAGCTTCTCTGGCAAGGTGATGTTGAATAATCCTTGCCAGGACCTTTCCCGGCACACTGACTGAGTGAGATGCCCCAGTAGTTGTTACAGTCTGTGCGGTCCCCCTTCTTAAAGAGGGGGACCACCAGGGCATCCTGTCCAGTGGTCCAGACATATAACAGAGTTACTGGCACAAGCAATCATCTTCTCTTAGTGATATATAGGGCACCGCGGTGGCTATAAGATGTTAACTACTTCGCCTGGTATACAGGACGTCAGGGGTTTGATTCTGACCCTGACGCTTGTTGTAAATTTGGAGTTTGCATGCCTGGGTCTCTGTGTGTGTACCATACGTTGAATTTATTTTGCACCGTACCTATCCAAGCGTGATAATCGGAGGTACAATGCGGAACTTGACAGTTTGCAGTGGTTTGTGGATAGTTTTGTTCGTGTGCCTGTCGTGCCCACGTGTCTACGGTGTTTGTTGTGAGGAGGGAGAGAGACGCGCGGACGCATTGGCCGTGGCACCTTGAGGCTGAAGAGCATGAGGAAGGACTCCCCGCAGTGCACGCAGGTATGGGGGGACTCCTCCTCCTCCACATGCTCCTCCTCGTCGTCGTCGCCCCCCGCGCCCCCTGCACCGTGCAGGGAGCCGTCCTCGCTCGCGCGCAGGGCCCTCCACCTTCTCCTGCTCCTAGTCCGCTGCTGTGGCCACTCGCTGCTCGCTGCTGTGGAAGTGGGGGGGGGGGGTGGTTGTACACGAGGAGGAGGAGGAGGGTGGGGTAAAAGTGTGGGTTCTCCCGCCTATTCAAAGATGTCTGGTCAGCGTGGAAGCGGTACCACGGTGGCGAGGAAATGTTAACTACCTTGCCTGGTGTGCAGGAGGTCGTTGGTTCGATCCCGACCCTGACACCTGTTGTATATTTGGAGTTTGTGTATCTCTCTGCCTCTCTCCCCGTGACGATGAGGTGGAGGAGGACGACGCAGGTGGCGCAGTGAATAGTGAATCTGCAACTGCGCGTTGTCACCGTTGCTTTAGATCCGCGTTGCTAAACGATGCCCGCTGCATTTCCGTTTACCTAAAGTAACAGTCCTGTACTGGACATCAGTGAAAAAGAGCTTGGTAGCTCATCGGATTCCTCCAATATAAATACATTTTATGATTCTGTGTGCATGTTGGGGGATGGACAAATGAACAAGAAATGAGTTTCCAATTTAGCGTAGTGGTCTGGTGTATAGAAGTGTAGTGCACAGTGTGTATTGTTGTATATAGTGTAGTATGTATTGTAGTGTGTAGTGGGTCATCCTCAATTTTGCCCCATGATTTTTTCTGAGCTGAGAGATTTCCCCTCCCCCAAGGCCTCACAGACATCCTCAGTAAATCTGCAAACCTGTTCCTGGGGGTCGGAGATCTATCACCGTTCTTTCCCCTGAGGATGGTGATAGGTGTGGCGCTGCAAGTCACTTTTTTGATGGAATAAAAGAGTATATTGTGATCGCGAGCGACTGTGGCAGACTCCCATCTCCTTAGAAACCAGCGACCACCACCTATCCTTGCAGCGCCGCACGGCTCTCCAAACCTCCGAACAAAGGCTGCGGTAAGCCTCCTCATTCTCCAGTGTGGGATGCTGTAGAAGGTGAGAGTGGGCCTGCTGCTTTTTCCCAGCCAGCTGGAACACCTCGCCTGTCAGTCAGGGTCTCTGGGCAAGTTTGAGATGTGTACCCAAAGCAGCCATTGCAGCTGCATGAGCCACAGTCCTAAACCTCACCCATTTCCCCTCGGCATCAGGAGGAGGGGGGGGCGATGCCAACCCCAGCTGCATGCGATGATGAAATTCTCGCTTGCAACTTTCATTAGCTGAGACCAGGCCTCAATGGGTTTGAATGAGGTCCCAGACGGACAGGTGACAAGTCAATGGTTAGCGGGCAGATCAGCTCCACTGTAGGTCCTGGTGTCAAGGACATGGGCTCACTACCGCTGTTCCGTCACTATATAGTCTAGCAGATGTTCTTGCTTGGACCCGGGTTTGCATCCATGATGTTGTGTGGATGCGCCAATGCTGGAAATGCGTGTTCGTAATTACAAGCCCATGGGCTGCACAGAAGTCTAGCGGCCTCCTACCGTTGTTATTGAGCTGATCTGGCCGATGCCTTCCAATCATTCCAGACCAGGTGCCAGCATCATGACCAACTCGGGCATTAAAGTCACCCAACAAGATGACTCTATCCCAAGGGACCACTTTAGCTAGCACCTGTGACAGGAGGTGATAGAAGGCATCTGACTCATCGGCCTTGCCTGCATCCCTCCACTGATGTTCATCTTTGAGGGGGGGCATAAGCAACCACCACCATTCTTCACCTCCCATTGATGAAGAGGCGAGCCCACAGTAGCCTGGGGCTTACAGTTTCCCACACCTCACATCCACGCTCCCACGCCCCCTTCATTCTTTTGTTCAGAAGAAGAGCCACTCGCTGTTGTTTAACATTATCCTGCCCCGAGTGGAGGACTGTCCACCCTTCATGGTGGCAGGAGCCAGAGCCGGTACACCAGACCTGCTGAATGCGACAAAGATCCAGGCGGTACCGGTCCAGCTCCCGACAGATGAGTGGAAGCCTTTCCTCCACAGTGAGCGTTCGCAAATTCCACGTGGCCACTCGCAGTGGCTTTTTGCCATGTCTGGAGGAACCCTGAGGGTGTGGGTTCAGTCTCCTGGCTCCGCCAAATGGAGTTTGGCCATGAGACGTCATAGACGCCTGTCCCCCCCCAAACCCCCCCCACGGGGCATCTTGCACAAGCTTAGTTTGATTTTTCCCCACGTAGTTTAGTGGTAATGAGAGTTCGCCGACCTTGTCCCCCATCGTCGTCTTCGTCGTCGTCACCGCCGGCGTCGCTTTCCCGCAGCTCCACCTCCACCTCGGCAGTGCTTGGAGGGAGTCCCGCCCCCTCCTCCTCCCCCTCGTCCTCCTCATCCCCTTCCCCCTCATCCCCCTCGGGCTCCCACTCCTCCCCCGCGCTTTCCAGCTTGCCCCTCACCCCCATGCCAACCTCTCCTCCATCACCTGGGATGGGCGGCAGGGTCAGGGAGCAGAATTGAGCTTATGCAGGGTGCTTAAAAAAAACGTTAACAATATCGTTTTTTAAAAGGAAAATCAATGGATAATGCTACACAGTAACATGACCACAAATGTAATGTTAATAGCTTCAAAAAGTTAAAAGTCTCCACTTGTTCGCCATCAGTGTCAACAACGCGTGCCTGGAATCTTCTCCAGGTGGTCTCCAGAGCCCAGAGGCATATTTCTTGTGGTATTGTTTAAATTTTTTTGAAGCACCCTGTATGTATATATACAGTGGTACCTTGGAGATCGAACACCCCAGAACTCAAACAATTCGGTGATCCAACAACATTTTCGACCATTTTTTGCCCCGGACATCGAACAAAAATTCGGAGGTCGAACAACTGGAAAGAACCGGTTTGGGCCGAGACGCGTAACCAGGGCGACCGAGACGCGTATTCAGGGCGACCGAGACGTGTAACCAGGGCGACCGAGACACGTAACCATGGCGACCGAGACGCGTAACCAGGGCGACCGAGACAAAGGCGAATGACCCAGTTTACGCGTAGCTCTCTCGTCCTTTATCACTGTGAAGTTCCCGCCCCCCAATACGACTCCTCTCATCCAGCCCATGGACCAACAGGTAATTTACAACTTAAAAAAAACTCTACACGAAAGCCCTTTTTCAAAGGTGGCAAAATGGGCTGAGTTACACAATTTTGTCGAAAATATCATCCAGATAAGGCGGTAGCCAGCAGTGGCAGGCGATGTTTATAATGATAATGCATTGAGTAATTTCAGAAACATCTTAAAACGGAGGCAGAAACAATCCTCTCTTGATCAGTTTTTAGTAAAACGGCCCTCAAGTGACTCACAGTTAGTGCTCGACAAAAGGCACAGAAAGAACCCCAGAAGGGCAGTTACCCAACGTGTTTATGGAGGGGGACTCCCCTTCCAAGCAACACTGACACTTCCTCCTCCCCTCCTCACCACCTTCCACTCAAGCCATCCACTCTCCTTACTACAGGTAAAGCGAAGTTCAATGTTCATTTATTATATTAATTATAACTGTGTTTCTTGTTTTTGTATGCTTTTATGTACTGTATTTTAATATTGTAAACTTTGTGTAAAAATGGCCCATAATAGGAGCATCCTTGGGTGGGGAACCAATTCATGCCATTTCCATTCATTCTTATGGGGAAAATTGATTCGGTGTTCGAACAATTCCGTGTTCGAACACCGATTTGGAACGAATAAAGTTCAATCTCCGAGGTACCACTATGTTATTTTAGTTTATATTTATGTAAGCGGTGCCACTGTGGTTGTGATGTTATCTTCATAATAAAGGAGTGTTTCTTTGGGTTAGATCGAGTAAAAATAAATGTCGTTAACCCCAACACCACCACCACCACCCGACACAGACACAATTCGATAAGGAAAATGTTGCAGTGGGTTTGCTCTCCGACATGCAACCGGTTAGTGCTGAACTGGTAACTACTGGGCACATTTTGTTAACGTGACCAACCTTCATCAATCTTGATTTGAAGCTTTCGTGATTGCAGGCATCGATCCCAACACAAGCGGCTGCCATCAGGCATGGTCGCCTGCTGACGGCAACCATGTCTGATGACGACCGCTTGTGTTGCGATAGAAACGTCGTGATTTGTTTCATTTTATTTCTAACTACGTGACTTTACCGAAAGAACCAAAGAGTAAACCTTCATCAGTTGTCTGTCAGGTGGTGGCGCGGGTTAACGACAAGCATTTATATTTGTTGGATCTAACCCAACAAAACCTTTATGAATAATGTTAGTTGCGAAAGCCTCCGTCTTAAATTGATGTTAACTTCCTCGCCTGGTGTGCAGGAGGTCGTGGGTTCGATTCCCGACCCTGACGACGCCTACTGCTGCTGTATATTTGGAGTTTGCGTGTCGCTCACTCATCATCATCACGGTGGCTAGGAGATGTTAACTACCTTGCCTGGTGTGCAGGAGGTCGTGGGTTCGACCCAGACCCTGAAGATGCCTGCTTCTGTGTATTTGGAGTTTGCGTCTCTCTCTTATCATCATCACGGTGGCTAGGAGATGTTAACTACCTTGCCTGGTGTGCAGGAGGTAGTGAGTTCGACCCGGACCGTGAGAATCCCTGCTGCTGTAGATTTGGAGTCTGTGTCTCTCTGTGGTCGCATTAAATTTTTCTCCGGGTCCTCCGGTTCCCCCCCCCCACCCCGACATTTATAATGAACGTCATGCGTTTATAGTTATTTAGCTGCTGCTATTAATTCCCACGATGATGATAAGCGGCCACTTGGTTGAGGTGCTATCATTTGTGATGGCCAGCGTCGCTTCTGAACAAGAGCCACCACATAGCTCAGTGGGCCCTAAACCTGGTAAAATTAAAATAGCTTCAAGTTTAGTTTAACTACCTCGCCTGGTATGCAGAAGATAGTGACTTTGATTCTGACCCTTGACGATGCCTGCTGCTGTATATTTGGAGTCTGCGTGTTCACTCTTCTCGTGGTGGTCGCGTGGATCTCTCCCCGGGTCTACCGGACTGGCACCGACACCACGCGTTTAGAGTATGTGGCCGCTGCTATACATTTCCACGTGATAAGCCACTTGGTTGAGCTGCTATCGTGCAATAACCAGCGTGAAAAAGAAGCTACATCGCAGCTCAGTGATGCCTTACACCTGATAAAAAAAAATAAGATCATATGGTGGTCAGTGGGTGATTGAGCGGAGAGTGGGTGGATGAGTGGGCGAGTGACCATCTGGCTGGTATAAATGTCCAGGTGATAAGCCACTTGGCTGAGCTGCCATAGTTTGCGATAGCCAGCGTCGCTTCTGAAAGAGAAGCTTGCATAGCGGCTCAGCGGAGGCCTTACACCTCGTAAGGTATAAAAAACATAAGTTTCGTTTTTAGCTCAACCACCACTACACCGCCACCGCCACCAATCGCTCACCCGCACCAGGGTCACTGCAGGCGAAGTCCACCGCTGGTGACGTCTCCGCCACCTCCTCCACGCTCTCCTCTTTGACCCTCAGCTCCTGCGGGGTTGCGCTCGGGTGCCGCCGGTCCATCGCCATGGCGACACGAGGAGGAGGAGCAGGAGCAGCAGGAGGAGTAACCACGGCAACGTCGAACGCCTGCGATGGTTGTAGTTGGTTTTGGTTGTGGTTGTCGTTGGTAGTGGTTGTAGTTGTGGTTGTCGTTGGTAGTGGTTGTCGTTGGTTGTTGTTGTGGTTGTAGTTGGGAGTGGTTGTAGTTGGTAGTGGTTGTAGTTGTGGTTGTAGTTGGTAGTGGTTGTAGTTGTGGTTGTAGTTGAGAGTGGTTATTGTTGGTAGTGGTTGTAGTTGGTAGTGGTTGTAGTTGTGGTTGTAGTTGGGAGTGGTTCTAGTTGGTAGTGGTTGTTGTTGTGGTTGTAGTTGGTAGTGGTTGTAGTTGTGGTTGTAGTTGGTAGTGGTTGTAGTTGTGGTTGTCGTTGGTAGTGGTTGTCGTTGGTAGTGGTTGCCGTTGGTAGTGGTTGTAGTTGTGGTTGTAGTTGGTAGTGGTTGTAGTTGTGGTTGTAGTTGGGAGTGGTTGTAGTTGGTAGTGGTTGTTGTTGTGGTTGTAGTTCGTAGTGGTTGTAGTTGTGGTTGTAGTTGGTAGTGGTTGTAGTTGTGGTTGTCGTTGGTAGTGGTTGTCGTTGTGGTTGTAGTTGGTAGTGGTTGTAGTTGTCGTTGGTAGTGCTTGTTGTTGTGGTTGTAGTTGAGAGTGGTTGTAGTTGGTAGTGGTTGTAGTTGGTAGTGGTTGTAGTTGGTAGTGGTTGTCGTTGTGGTTGTCGTTGGTAGTGCTTGTTGTTGTGGTTGTAGTTGAGAGTGGTTGTAGTTGGTAGTGGTTGTAGTTGGTAGTGGTTGTCGTTGGTAGTGGTTGTTATTGTGGTTGTAGTTGAGAGGGGTTCTTGTTGTATTTGGTAGTGGTTGTTGTTGTGGTTGTAGTTGGTAGTGGTTGTTGTTGTGGTTGTATTTGGTAGTGGTTGTTGTTGTGGTTGTAGTTGGTAGTGCTTGTTGTTGTGGTTGTATTTGGTAGTGGTTGTTGTTGTGGTTGTAGTTGGTAGTGCTTGTTGTTGTGGTTGTATTTGGTAGTGGTTGTTGTTGTGGTTGTAGTTGGTAGTGCTTGTTGTTGTGGTTGTATTTGGTAGTGGTTGTTGTTGTGGTTGTATTTGGTAGTGGTTGTTGTTGTGGTTGTAGTTGGTAGTGCTTGTTGTTGTGGTTGTATTTGGTAGTGGTTGTTGTTGTGGTTGTCGTTGGTAGCGCTTGTTGTTGTGGTTGTAGTTGAGAGTGGTTGTATTTGGTAGTGGTTGTTGTTGTGGTTGTAGTTGGTAGTGCTTGTTGTTGTGGTTGTATTTGGTAGTGGTTGTTGTTGTGGTTGTAGTTGGTAGTGCTTGTTATCTCTATGGTTGACTGTCGTTATTGTCTTTGTGGCTGGTGTTGTCTCTGTTGTCAATGTGGTTGTTGTCTATGTGGTTGTTGTTGTCTCTGTGGTTGTTGTCTCTGTGGTTGTTGTCAATGTGGTTGTCTCTGTGGTTGTTGTCGATGTAGGTGTTGTCTATTTAGTGGTGGTTGTTGTCTGTGGTGGTTGTCTATGTAGTGGTGGTTGTTGTTTATGTGGTGGTTGTTGTTTATGTTGTGGTGGTTGTCTATGTAGTGGTGATTGTTGTCTGTGGTTGTCTATGTAGTGGTGGTTGTTGTCTATGTAGCGGTGGTTGTTGTCTATGTAGTGGTGGTTGTTGTTGTCTATGTGGTTGTTGTCTATATAGTGGTGGTTGTCGTCTATGTGGTGGTGGTTGTTGTCTATGTAGCTTTG